AATGAATGGTATGAAACCACCTACCTCTTAAAAAAAATGTAAAATAAATAAAATAACAAAACGCCACGGATGTTGAGACCTACAGCGTCTTGCAAGACATCTTAAATGCTCCTTTAGATCCTTTATCCTGAATATTTTATAGCAGATTAGTGTGTTTCTTTTGAAAACCTACTAAGCCCTCGCAGTCATCATGAGAACTGGCACCCCTACAATTGCGATATGAAAAGGATTTGCTAGTGCTTACTCTGTACACCTGAATTTTTAATTCGATTCTCTAAATGAAGATTTACAATGGTATTAAACCAGCTTTACCACAGACAAACGACTGTTTGCAAATTAAATCTTGTTTCGTATTATTTGTAAACACTAGAAGTGTCTTGATTTTCAGTGTTTAATAGTACCTAATTTAATAGTAGGTTAGCTTATTTAAAAAATAATAATGGTAATATTTTTCTATACATGCATTGTTCCACATTGTTTTCAGTATTTGAATTTGACCCTATAAATGTTTTTTAGACTTTTTAACGTAAACATTGTATCTTACCTCAATCTATTTATGCTATCTACAGGGTGTCCGAAACTTCATCCCCTCAACCAAAATTTCGAAAAATTTATCGTAAAGTTGTTCTGACTAGTTGAATTATTATTTTACACCTTAAATATAACAACATAATAAAAATGAATATACTTTAAAACTCAATGTATTAAAATAGTGGCCATGAATATCATTTTTATTTTTTTACAGTTCTCTTGCACTATTATGAGTGTCTTTTCTTTTTAATTATTCCTGTATGATTTACAAACAGAAAATATGTGGACATCATAAAAGCTTTGGGTTTTAGCAATAATACTCGGATAGCAACTCAGCAGTACAGAAACATTTACCCAAATAGAAAGCATCAAAATCATGAAACTATAACAACCGCCAAGATGCGTTTTGTGAAATCAAAATGTGTAGTCCCAAAACTTGCCAACGTCAGGCGACCTAAAAGACTGACATGGCAGTAAGAAAACCGATTGTTTAATATATCGAAAACGGTTCTTTTTTAAATGTAACAATATTCTACTATTCATAGTTTTATACAAAGGTCAAGATTTATTAATGTCACTCTCAACCAGTTCAGACTTAACACCCTGACGATAATGAGTTGCGATTAAATTTCTGTAGATGGGCATTACAGCAAATTCAAATAGACCTGGAATTTTTTTCAAACATGTTGTAGTCTGATGAGGCTTATTTCAATCAACGAGGAGTGTTAAAATACCATAACTCGTATTAGTCGGCTCATAAAAATCTACATGTAATTTACAAAGGAATTCTGCAAGTACGATGTAATGTAAACATTAGAGAATTAAATAATGGAACTTTATTTTCTAACAAAAACCTAGTGCAGCTTTTGCGAGAACATACTAACAACCCCTTTACACTATCCTCTATTAGTATTACGTATTTAATTTCCAACAGGACGGAGCACCTGCACATTTTTCTTTGCAGAAAGAGCAAAATGGTGATCTTTCAGAACATTTACCTGTCAAAATTTTAAATTTATATTTTTTCCGCAACCTTTTACAAAGTTAACTATTTTTGAACTATTTTTGAGTAGAAAATACATATTTACTGGTCTAGATATTAAAGGGATCGGTAATGTCTTTACCGATCCCTTAAATTAGTTTTGGTTTACAACAGTATCTAATAACAATTAAAAATCATGAATCCAGTCTTCTTTGAAAGTAAACATTCGACATCCGTCGGTTGAATTTTATGAATTTTGTTTAGAAATTATTTCAATTTAAAAAGTTTCTATAACTAGCAAGAACGGTTGCAGAAAAAATATGGTACGCAAATACCAAGAAATTGTCTTTACTGGAATCACTTACCTGTCTTGTTACATAAATAACTATTATTCTCATTTTGAGCAACACATTTAAAATGAAATGTTTGATATAGAAAATTATAAATACTTTTTATTACTTGTCTAATTTTCAGTATATTTGTTATTTTTACAACTACTTTCATCCTATTCGGACATTTTCAAGTAGATTAAATTATACACAGATTTTACTTTCATTTAAATATAAACCGAACTGAATAGAAGAATGGGTCACTTTATGCAACCATATAATTCAAATTTGTACAGATATCTCTTTAAATGTATGGGTTACTCAAGATAGCAAATTATATTATGGTGTGACTTTTATTAACAGCATTAGGTTATCTGAACAAGTTTAATAACGGAGAAATATTTAAATCTATTTGGTCGTTTAATATGTTGTAATTTTTAATCCTATTTAATTTATTTATTTGTAGCGCTTCTAATATATTAAGTTGTTTACTTTTCCTACAAATATGTAATATTTTAAGTTGATGGTCGTCAGTTATTGTATGATCAGAATCTGTTAGGTGTTTGTAAAAAAAGTTGGAATGTTGTTTTTGTGTGTGAATATGTTCTCTATATCTTACCTCTAACGATTTACCTGTTTGACCTACATATGAGGCGCTACATTCTGGGCAATCTAACGGATATACACCACATTTTTTAGAGATATCAGTTTTTTGTTTTGTATTGAAAAAATATCTGCCTATATTTTTATTAGAACTAAATGATGTTTTAATATTAAATTTGGAAAAAGTTTTGTTAATTGATTAAGACTATTGACCTGAATAGGATGAAACTAGTTGTAAAAATAACAAATATAGTGAAAATTAGACAAGTAATAAAAAGTATTTATAATTTTTTTAAATCAAAATGTATTTTCACAAAAGTAACTTCATCTTCAATCAATTCTACAAAATGTTTATTTGGATTAGTACAATTTACTTGAATTATTAATTAGCCATAGTTTCACTGGGAATGCTTTTTGGAAATTTTAGTATGCTTGACTTTTTATCTTATTTTGAATCCACCATCTACCATGACGGCGAATGATGAGCGAATTTTCGGACTATCCTAGCTCAGAAAACAAACAGCTTTATTCGAAACAGATACATTAAGGTTGATAAAAAAATTAGTAATTTTTATTCCAATGACCCTAGATGAAGAGTTTTTCTGCAAAAGTCAACAAGTCTTTTAATCTCAGTTCTGAAAAAATGGATATTTTCTATAGTGACTTAAGCAAATATCCAAACGCAAAATGTCATTGAGAGTACTATTGATAGACATCTCAACAGCATACAGTGAAAATATCAACAAAAATTATTTGGACTTATTGAGTTTGAGTTTATTATCCGAACAGCTAGTGGTATAAGGAAACGTTTACATATTCTGTGTTACCACATATCTCATATTCCAAAATGTCGCCATAATATGATAGTGAATCTAATATAACCCAATACTAATGTTTGACTACTGGTGAATAAAGGGCATAAATTGTGTTAAACACTGAATTTTAAAACAATAATATATGCGGTAGGACTTGTTCAATTTTGCTACAAAACTGTAATCTCCAGAGATAAGATTCCATATGACTTGTGACTTAGTTTTGATGCAAATTATCGATTTTCTCATTGAATTTACAAACTACTAATGTAGTTTTAATATAAATCTGCTGAGGACTTGTTTCTAGTTAAGATTTCTTCAACCGAATTTTGATATACTAATTTTTTCATTTGTGGACTTATTGAGGTTTACAGAAAAGCTCTTGAGTTAGAGCCACCAAATCGCGCTGCCATTCTGGTTCGTCGACAGGGGTCAAGTTCTTTATAATTAGTCGAAGCCCTTTAGTTAGTGTATAATATTAAAACAGTGTTAGGGACATTAAATGTTATGTGTGGTGTTTGCGTTAATGAGAAATTTATAAACATTTTAAGCAAACATTCTAACTATGCTAGGTTGCGGACTATTTATAATTAGTGTATATCAAAACTATCCTTTAAATTAATTTGAAACATATTTTTCTTTTACGAATATAACATCTATAGAAGCAGAAAAATCTTTTTCTTCACACAAAAATATTTATCCACCGCAACGTACACACCTCGAGGAACATATTGCGGAGACCTTGCACATATTGTAAATGTATAATCGAGCTCATCCACACTCTTTAATTTAGCGACAGTATTAGTTATAATTATTATGATTTTTTTTAACGTCTTATTTATGTTAATGACCTGGCAGAGTTTAGCACAATGCTATTCCACCACTCAACAAGGACAGATACACATACAACAACCATTCCCTTCTACATTTACCAGGATGCCGCAGCTGAGACTCGAACTTAGGAGAGATAGACAGTGACTAGTCGAGTTCTGCCACACAACAACGCTCTAGTCACCTCTGATACCGACTCGATATTTAAAAACGTCACTATGTACAGATGTATTCATTAAAAAGCATACTAGTATGAAAATGAGATGCAAGCATTATGTTTGTATAAAACCGGCGGTTTACATGTCATAGGTTTCATATGTGACAGATTTTCACCACCTATGACATGTGATAACCTCCAATAAACAATAATTTACTCAGCCGGAGCTCGCCTCTCATTCTATTACTTGTACGCTTTTTTAATGAATGCAATTGTACATCATATCATAATTATTATGATTTTTTTTAACGTCTTATTTATGTTAATGACCTGGCAGAGTTTAGCACAATGCTATTCCACCACTCAACAAGGACAGATACACATACAACAACCATTCCCTTCTACATTTACCAGGATGCCGCAGCTGAGACTCGAACTTAGGAGAGATAGACAGTGACTAGTCGAGTTCTGCCACACAACAACGCTCTAGTCACCTCTGATACCGACTCGATATTTAAAAACGTCACTATGTACAGATGTATTCATTAAAAAGCATACTAGTATGAAAATGAGATGCAAGCATTATGTTTGTATAAAACCGGCGGTTTACATGTCATAGGTTTCATATGTGACAGATTTTCACCACCTATGACATGTGATAACCTCCAATAAACAATAATTTACTCAGCCGGAGCTCGCCTCTCATTCTATTACTTGTACGCTTTTTTAATGAATGCAATTGTACATCATATCCATATCCTAGTCAGGATTCGAACCTGGGACCCTTTGGTTTCAAGTCCTAACGTTTAATCACTGAGCCACTGAGCCGACATTTGGTAACTTTATTTCCTATATCATACTGGGTAACTGTATTTTACAGATAATCGAGCTTAAAAGAATCATTCATGCGGTAGTTAAGTAAAATGAAGAAAATGCTACAAATATCATTCAGACAATTTTATGGAATGAAGACTTCTGAAAAATGCAAACTTTGCCTCCAGTTGACAATACTGCGCAAATATACTTTGTACAATAATTTTGTTATATTCTGGAACATTATTTTGTTATATTCTGTTGACTAAACTGTACTGCATTATTATGTATCTTCAAATAATTACAATTTAGAAATTATATACCTCTATTACTGCCTAAAATAGAAACATTATACTTGAGAGGTAATTAAAGTTGGGCACCCTTGAAATTATAATAAGGGTATATCACAAATTATTACTGTTACAACTCGATTCTTTGAACTTTACTTAGAATGTTTTATTAGACATTTCTATAAGTTATGACAATTATAAAACTTAAGCGCAGCAGTAAAATTTATTAGTGTTTAAACAACTCAATTAGAGAAGTTAGACGTAGATTTTAATTAGAAAAGACAATATATTTGGCTATAAAACAAGAAAATATGGTATAAATGCAATTTATTTTGAATAACAACAAAGGTGCTACAAAAATGATGTGGAAAAATCTGTCTGATTGCAAATGCAGTCAGGCTTTCGTGAAAAATAAGGAACACATAATTCTTTATTAAAGATAGTTAATAATCTAGCCACAACAATGGTTAATTCATTGTGTAGCATTTTAATATTATTGGACCAAAGTAAAGTTATTGATTTAGTAAATTTTGATTTATTCTTCTTTAGTTAAATTAAAATATATCATAACCGATTACTTATTTATATTAAAGATAGAATCTGGCGTACCACAGGGCAGTATCTTAGGGTCCATACTATTTTCTGTTTATATTTTTATTGCCCTAGAGCACTTATTGTGATGTGAAATTAATTTGTACGGCGCCGATGAAATTGAAATATATTTATTCTTGTTGAAACCTCAGTGCAATATTTAAATAAAAATTTATATAATGCTGAATTATTCTGAATACCATGGACTGTGATTAAATTTTAATAAAATATTTGCTATGTGTATAAGATCGGAAAAACAGAAACATGATGTACAGAATAATTTTAAATTAAATAAATTAAATTAAATAAATAAATTAGAGTAATATTAACTGCGTAACATCAGCAGAAACTTAGGTGTTATAATAGATAATAATTTGCCATTTAATTAACATGTCGAAGAAACATATATTTAAAACATCTTTCATGAAATTGAATCTTCATACAAATTTAAACATCAATTAACTCAAAAAAGTTAAATTAAAATTAGTTTAAACTCATAATTATTCCTACTTAGATTATTGGTGTTCTGTTTATTAAATTTTTTTGCAATAATATATCAAACATAAATTTCACCGTATGCAAAATGCATGTATGTATGAATACGATTTGTATGGTGTATCTCATATATGGAATATAAAACACCGTACCTTATACAACTAAATGAATTTTGAATGTTGAAAAACGAATGCAGTATTCAAGAATTTTTTTTGTATAAATTGTTATATAATATACTAAACTATCTACAGATAAAACCATAAAGATGTGAACACAGTCAGTATGCACAATTTCATTTTATTTGTTTAATATTGGTGGCCCGAGAATTATTGAATCACTTGGTTACAATACGTGCAAGGCTACTAGATTGCAGTATCGCATCATCTGTACTGAACCGCGTACACCGATTCACGACTATAGATTCCCTTCCGCTGCTAACATTTAAACGTAAATTGCGCATACTAATGTCCCTGTTCACTAATAAAAGAAGCAGTACCACATTTAAATAGGTTTCTGTTCTAGAAAAGCTTTTTTTAAATCGGGCAAAAAATAAAGGAATTACAGGCTTGTATCACATTTAAGCGCGTCACCCTGTATGTAGAGATGTTACCTAGGCATGTTATATAAAATATTTAATATTAGTTTAGGGGAACTGGAAGAAAGCTTAGTAGTCTAACCTCTAAAAATATTTACATTTATTTTATGCACAAGAAATCATATAATTAGTTATGTAAAAATAGGAGCTATTACAATATGTATGTGTTCAGATTAACAACCAGTATTGAAAAATTTCTTTAAAAATGTTTTGCATTGTTCTAAAATCTAGATATGTAATATTGATGTCACTACATTGTGAGTGTAAACTTGATTTTCAATAATTTCACGAAACTGTTTAACGTTTCTGTAGGGAAATTTGTTTTGGAATTTTTATAAATAATGTATTCTATTTTCGCCTATTATGTCTCTTACATTTCTTTAATCTCCGTAACTGTCTAATGCAAGTATATTACAAATATCGATTTAAAAATTATGGTGGAGCTTGAAAAGAAGAAGAAAAAAGTTCTCAGAATTACCGATTATATCGGTAAGTGCCTAACTTTTTTAAATTTTAATTGAGACATCTTACACATGTTCACATTTTTTTAAACCCTAACGCATAAAAAACGTTCCATATAATGACTACCATTATTTACAAAAGATGCGGGAATTCTTTGCAGACGCGCAGTTCGCAGACTGAAGCATCCTACGACATACGGATGCTGAAGAGACCTATACATACCCGGGTGTACAGTAACGTCACATCCAGAATGTAAAATAAATAAGGGCTCCGCACTGATTATGAAAAATTTGGTCTTCTGAACTTTTGGGGAACAATAAAGTATCTGCAACTAACATGCTAGCCGATCAGGTTCTGCGCTGCACCTTAGGAGTAGTGAAATAGACGGTAGACGAGCTGCGCCAATTAGACAGAGATACAGCAAGATGATGAATATTTACACAAGTATTCATCCTAGATCGTCCGTTCCCCGTGTGTACCTCCCACTTCAACAGGGGGGATAGAGGATTCTTAAGCCTGGCAGAGTAGTACAGAGTACGACATGTAACATTCTTAGGAGCTCAGTCCTCTCTTGTAGATTGTGAAACATCATGGAACTGTAGTAGTGGGCGCAGGATAATTCAAGACAGCAAAAAGAGCCTTTTGACACTAGGCGAGGAGGCCGGTCGGCGAGGTGCTGATTTAGAGTCAGTTAGTGAAATTCAGCTAAATTGCTTGAAAGCCTCAAGCTGAACATGAAAATCTGTTTCAGCAGCAAAACACTAGGATGGTGTCTCCTATGGGAACATAGAAACACTGGGTTTTCGACTAGGCTGACATTCGTCTTTCTAAGAATAGCCAGGTTTAAGTCGGTGAGAGGAATTCATTACGGTCTACCGTAGGTGCGTGTGGCATGTAGAGGTTCTTGATAAAAACTTCAAGACTTGCCGTTAGGTGCCGGAATCGCCCATGCACTTACATTCAACATGCCTCGTATATGCGATTTTGGCCCACATCCACCGACATAACGCGGCTTTACAGACGCTATATTACCACCTAAAGCACTCGTAGGGGGTAGACCAGACACCAGTGCTGCCTTGCGTCCCGAGAAATATTGATTCCGTTGTCGAGAACGAGAAATATCGAATTTATTGAAACACTCTTCCCCGACTGATTGTCGGGCTAATCCAAGCGAGTTAGTCTGACACAGACCTCTTTGGCCATCAAACCAAGGTGATGTATGTAGTTCAATTATCGGTCTCTTCCGAGAAAAACATCACCTTGATGGAGGAGGAAAGACAGACAAAATATCGTGATCTCTGATACGAGCTCCAAATGCTATACCCAGACTGCTTGGCCAAAATGGTCGTCCATTAGATCGATGTACTCGGAGGGATAAAGTCTACTTTGCTCTTGGAATTGAAGTCCATATCGGCTAGCCAAAATCAGACCAGTGGCTGGTAGGCCACTAAGACCTGCAGGATGTGGGAAGTGGCTGTAGGTAATTTGCTGGTGTGACCCTCATGTAAATCGGAGCCATGGTAGGACTGTACAGTGTCGGGCAACCGAAAAAAAAAAACACCTCAGAAATTAGAAAACCTCCAAATTCAAAGCCGAAGCTGCCTAGTAGGGGAGTAACTTAGAAAAACGTGGACGTACATCTTACTAATATTGCTAGTGCCTGTGAGAGATTTGAACCCGCAGCTACGATAGAAAGATTATTATTCACAGTTGCCATCGCTCTCTCTAGCCAATTACACCATCGAGCCAGTCAAATATGGTTGGTTATTTTAAAATGCAGAGTCAATACTGAAATGCTGGACGGTACCGAAATACAAGACATAATGTTAATTTTAAATTCATGTATTATCTAAAAATTATTTTTAATTAGGGGAATTGCCAAACAAGTACTAAAGCAATAATAATTATTGAATTCTATGAATTATTTAATATGTAATATTTAGTGAAAGTAGTAAATATAATATGTATGTATGTATCGGATCCACTTAAATTGACACTGGATTTTCTGGGTTTATTATTGATAAACGTAAATTTCAAGAAATAGTAACATGCAACTTTTGCATATATTCTGAATCCGCTGAGAAAACTTTTCTGACATAAATATACGAGGGATGGTAAAAAAATCGTTTTTTCGACATTTTTACACGCTGCATATTATGCATGTAATCGGATAGTCGAGTAGTCATGTCTGAAAGTACTATATATTTCTACATATTTATATAGCTTGCTTAATTCTATTTTCAATAGTGTTTATACAAATACTGATTTAAAAAAAACCGGTTTTAGAATTTCAGTATTCCAATACAACCGGTTACACCGGTCTTCGAAATCTGACAAAAAAAAACAAAATACAATTTAAGCAGTGAAAGAATATTTATACTCAAAAATATTCAGCTTATTTAATATTTATGGAATTACAAAAATTTAATAAAATAAAATATACTCTCTCTATACAAAGCCAAATAAACAAAATGAAATCTAAATAACTAAAATCCGTACAAATCAGTACAATTTTTCATTTAGTTTAATATTTATTCACAAGTTACAAGGAAAAATGTAATATGACGTAACGCTTAAATTTG